GTCTTCAGGGACACAAGTTCCTGGAATGAAAGACAAAGATAAAATGATCTTTAATGCTAAATTTAAATACAATTTCCACAGATGTGAAGCATGAGCACCTACTTCAAAATTTTCATGAGCTTCTACACTGCCTTTCAGGAGACCTCAATACACGGCCTCAATTTTACTGAAAGGCATATTACAAATAAGCAAAACTTTAAAAGTACCATTCAAAAAAATCAGATTTTGATATAAAACATAATTCAGAATTCTTAGAAAATCAAAGCACTAAAAATTCAGGATTTAGGCGATGACTTCTACAGGATGAAAAGGAAAACACACCTCCCTAAATTCCCCTTCAGGGAATTTCACCCTTGATAGCAAAGCAGTAACTTCAAAGAAATGAAAAAAAGAATAGAGTTGTGATTTCTCTGACTAAGAATTCTGAAATTTTACTTCTGATGCCTGGTGGACTTTGAAATCAGAATTGTCTTTAAGAAACTAAAGGTCCTAACTTGAAGAGGCTGACCACTCTTCGTAAGGCCTATTTCTGTCGAATCGAAGACTTTCAATCTGCCCCCCATTGAACTTTCCTACATACCACTGGCTCTCCTTTTCTTCTTGAAACTCTCTGCATACTTGGTTTCTGTGATCCTATTGCACCTTTTCAATTGCCATGTTCTATTGCTAAAATGCAAAGATTGGCTACAGATCAACATATTATATTGTCAAGTAAGAATACGGTAAGTTACTGTGGCAGCAAAATGTATGACATAAACAGTAATTTTGTGATAGTATCTGTAGATGGATAATAATTAGCTGACAGAAATAACTGTAGTTTACACCACTTTTATGCAATACACCTCAGAACAGAGAAGGTAATATCCCAAATGAAAAAAAAAGATACTACTGATCTTCAGACATTAAAAAGAAACTATTATGAATTAATTTGTGTTCAGAATTTGAAAATTTAAACAGAACGGGTAAATTCCTAGAAAAATATAATTTACTAAAGTGACGTAAGAAATGGAAAACCTACGTTGATTTTCAACCACTAAAGAAACTGAATAAGCAGTCAAAAATCTTCCCACATGGAACACTCTCGGCCCAAACAGCTTCACTGGTTAAGTCCTAGCAATCACGTAAGGAAGGAGTATTTCCAACATTAAATCTCTTACGAACAATAGAAGAGAAAAAACTTCTTCAGCTCACTGTATAAGGCTAACGAAGTTCTGATACCTAAATCCAACAGAAGGTAAGAAAGAAAAGGAAAATTACAGATCCATCTTAATCGTG